ACATGAAATTTTAAAAAGAAGTTACATCGGTTTCCCCAGCAAGCTCTTTAAAGACCATTGAAGCGTGAAAGATACAAAGATATCACAACGCGTATCTACTCAGCATGCTCGCACGCCTGCTCAACGACATATTGCCGCTAATTTTAGCGTCACTTGAGCCGATCACGTCCGCCAATGCCCGATTTGGAATCTCTTGGACAAATGGTGGATGTCGTGCGTCGCCAAACACGTAGAGCGGCTGCGTACTCGCGAGTACCTGCGCTACTGCTACTGATGACTGCGATTGCGAGGCGGACATTATTGTAATGTGTAACGGCAATGCGTCGGATTATATCCATACTCCTCTCATAGAAATGGAGTACTTCTCAACTAGACTGGTTTTGGATACTTGCTCTTCTCATTGGAGGGTTATGTTGAAGTGATTTATTCATGCGTGTCTGCTGGTTAGCATAATGAAGGTGTTATCTATATATTTACGGTATCTATATACAAAATAGGCAAGCACGAATTTTGTCGTCATAGAACTCCTCCGTGGATTATTTACAGATTTTGTTAGTATATGGCTCATTAGAAGGGTTTCATTAAGTAGATGTCATAAAAGGTCAGAACTGTTAAAAACTCCTTTGGGCTCTGCCCCAGCAGTGGCTTTTAAAGTTTCCGTGTTATCCTTATGAAGAAAGAAAGGTGAACGTAAGATGATCTGCGTGGGTAAATAATTTTTGTTACTGACTAATATCAGTTGTTTACTCAACCAGGATCATCTATTGAAAGCCCAATAATCAGGAACATTTGGGTCTAGTTTTGAACCATCAGAAAGTCATTTACTTAATTCTTTTATGATTGAACCGGTGACCATGTGATTGTTAGGCTACACTCATTCTTCACTCAAACCTAGGAGGCGTCTCCAACTCAATTTCTAATACATTAGGAATATTAACTTAATATTGGCTTGATATTAGTTTGGGTGCTGATCTTCTTACGTTTAGGTACTTTTTCTCAGGGACGACTTCAGGTTCTGATACCAACAAATAGTGAAAAAACGTATTTTTATGTAATCGTGATGGATAATGTTCGTAACACTAATATATATAAGTAGCCACGATATCATTATGATTATGGTAGACTAATTGATCCAGGGTTTTGTAAAAAATAAAAGAAAGTTACCACTGATTTGTAAATCCGCTTAAGGAAACCATGGGGTTAAGAAGTTGCAATTTTTTGGACAGTTCGTATGATGCTTCTGACAAACTATACTTTTCCATACGTTAACATTTTTACGCAATTTTTCTATCAGATAAACATCCTTTTCTAATTGGGAAATATTCAATATACAGTACTGGGTGAAACCCGTCGGAATCGACGGTTGCTTCAAAGGTTTACGACAATTCTTCTAACTGCGACAAAAAGAGTGAAATTGTTAAAAAAATGTGAGCATTTAGGATGGTTAAATCAGTAATAAATAGTTGTAGAAACAATATTGGCTATTACGTTAGTTACAAAATATGGTTGATCATTCAATGAATAACATATTTCTTATACCGTCCGTCATAGGAGTTATTGTTCCTATGTCAACTGGTTTATCTTCTTTTTGATGAATATAACATAAAGAATGCTTTTGGAAGAATCCTTAAATACTGAAGTATTAAAATCGTATTGGTAGATATTTTGTGGTTCACACTTCTGGGATTTCATCAGAGTTATGCAGATTAAATCTGTGTGCTTAATTGTATATCTGTTTGTTGAGAAAACACGTTCTTACTTCAAAGGGAGTCCCACCCTAAAGCTGTGTAAGTTTTATTTTTCCTTCGTTAGCAATAATATTTTTTTTAGCATAGCTTTGATTCCATGACATACGGATGTCAGTTGTCTCAGCCTTATCAATTACATAAAGTGTTCGATATAATATATGTTCGGAATGTTAGGTGTAGTGGAATATACTTTTAGTAAAGCTGGCTTTTATTCTTGAAATGAGGGACCTCGTTCATATGGTCATGCGGCTTCATTGGCAACAAATAATGCAAATGACAAAGCAATGCTGCATTTCCAAAAAGGAAATACTGTAAATTGTTACTTAAATAGTGACGTTTACATGCTGCATTGTTATTAATCAACGTATCTAGGAAAGGATGAGGATATCTAGTTCAAAAGGAACACGACCTTTCTGTCATGACAGTCTCTGCTTAAATGGTAATTACTCTTAGAGTAATTTGTTTTACAGTCGAAGTGTAGTGTTATTTTCACAAATCTCACGTTGCTGTAACCCATTATTAATTTAACAAAATATGGACACGGCTCATATGGGCCGATCCCATCAACAAGCTCTATGTAGTGCCCTTAGCTCTTGTATTATTTTTTATTGTATTACACAATCGACATCTTTTCCAATAATTGAAAACATTTGTATGAAAATAATCTCATGAACATATGATGATCTGTCTTGAATAATATGACAAAATGTCGGCAAAAGTGGTCAAAAAGGTAGTCACCAACCCAACCCGTAGGCCTACAATAGATATAAGATAATTCGATAAGAAATCATTTTAAGAGTTATTGTAATATTAAGATTTTCCAATGATTTCGTAATTGAACGTAATATTGCAAAACATGACATGATGCAGAACAAAATAAATTTTAGAACCAGAAAATTAAATTTCAAATACTTCTTTTTGACAAACTCAATAACTCCCTATAATGTGTTGTTTAAAATAAAATTTGAATATTAACAGCTGTTTCATTAAAAAATAATGAAAAATTATCCATATGATGATAATGTAAACAAATCTGGGAAGGGATTTTTAAAGGCTTCTGGGGCAGAGCCCTATGGGAATTTACTTCGTTTTTCTTTTGATGGCTCATTTACAGACCTAGACCTTTCTTTGGACACCTCTACCAGGGTTCTACGCCCAGCCGTTCTCTCAAATTAGTGGAGTCAAAGTCACAATTGTAACATTAATTACAATTAATTTTGAACAGTGGTTTTTAAAGCGATGAGAGTTGTATAATTTTGTTCAGATTTTAAAGGACTATAACTAACTAATTTTCCATCAAAATAAAAATTGTTCGGGCTGATACCATGGATATCAGCCTACCGGATATCAGGTACCTACCTACCAAATGTCATCAAAATCGGACTATAGGTGTGGTCTGATAGCTCTGTACGTGTACACATCTATACATAGAGACAGATAAATGGACTGACATCACTGTGATAACCACTTTTAAATGTTCCATAACCTTTTTCCACTTTTCCAGTGATAACAACAAGTAAATGTTCAGGGGAAAATTTTGACGAAAACAATACTTTTTCCATAATATATTAGATGGTATAGGAGGAGAAAGTAAAAATGTAGTGTGAATTTTATATTCAAGTTTGGTGACTAAAACGACAATTATAATTACAATTTTCTATAAAGAAATTGTAGTCTGGATGATATTATACTTTATTCGTGTATTTTTCAGCAAACGAATGCTTAAATTAAATGCATATTAACCCATTAGAAAAATCTGAAGCTATTAAAGTTAAGATTTCAGACGACATCAAATTTATATTACGAACTATATTCAATATGAGAAACAAAATGAAAATGTCTATTAAAGCATTAATTCGTCCTTAAACTTTTGATGTTAATTTTTGTATTTGTTTGTATAGAATACTTAATTTAATGTTTTATACTACTAGAGATGACTATTTTCGAAGGACAAATTTAAGTGAGTGTTGTTGGTCGTCTTAAATTGTACAAACTATTTACCATAAAACAGTGTTGATTTTTAATGGCCTACTCCTGACCTTTTTGACATTGTATTACAAACACCAGCCAAGTAAATGTTTATATATTAAAAGTCAATTATATCATTTGTATTTTTAAGTATTGTTGTATACACGAAGACCATTGTATATGTACAAGTAATTAACAAATAGCCCTCCAAGCATTATTAGTCAGACAGCCTCACATTAATAATTAATTGTGAAAAGATATTTTCTGTTTTAAATACTTCAGAAGCTAATAATATTCATCGATATTTCCCAATTTGTCTCTAGAACTTTTTAACGAGCTTAAAAAACAAATAATTTAGTATATCAAAGTGTTTTGTACGGTTATTTGTAACGGAGAAAATTCAAAAAATTGTAAATTTAAAATTCCCATGTTATTCTTATGGAGAATATTGTAAAATGTTGTAATTGCTTGTTTATGGATATATTCTGAAAAAAACTTAGCAAATTTATTTGTTGTATACTAAGCTAATAATATTTTACTAAAAACCATACTTTAACATTTTCCTTGTAGCAGCAAACCTAGGTACTCGTTAAACCTAATGCTATTTAAATAGATTTAATTGAAAATCAATTCCGTCAAATGGAAATTCGAATGCTGCGGCGGGGGTATTTATGATTATTATGCAATAACTCATATAGCCCCCACCTTTATATTTTATATTTTAACCCTGACACATCTAGATTTTTTCAACATACATATTGACTTGCATAATATATCTTTTAAATTCCACAAATCGCAATAATTTTAAATATAGTTTTTTGTTATATAATATATGACACGACTACAGAAAAATTAAGTTTATTGCATTTATTTTTAATAAACTAACTTTCGGTAGTGGTTCGAGTTAAAAGAATGAAGCCCAAACAATTAATTACGGTTATGTTCAGCAGCCATGGTGTAAAAATTTAAGAAACCCTTTTTAGTCGTTTAATGCCCTTCATTAGGATTTTATTACCAGTAAGCCTAATTAAAACGCTCGAAAACAAAACGAAACCAGTTGACGCTCCCATGGTTTATCGGTGGTCATTTACTTCTCAAAGGCAGTTTGTGTAGAAGCGCTCTTTTTATCCGCGTATTGCTCGTTATTACACAAAGGTGAGGTGCACACAGTTTTCTGGGGAAAGACAACAATTAGTCGGTACAGCGCTGTGATTGGTCGACTGTACGCATGCGCAGTAGGCTCCCCCCACCACCGCGCCGGCTCAAGAGCTCAGTCCGGCAGTTGCTCTCGTTGGAGATGTGTTGTGTGTGTCGGTAGTGTTCTGGTTGTACGGTATCTGTAGTGTGGTGTTGTGTCCATGCGTGGATTAACATGCTCTGCCGACGGAAGCATCATGCGTCCATGCTCCTGCTGCCGCTTCTCTACTTCCTACAGGTAGGCAGGTCACTACCACGTAGACCGGCTCTTTGAATCTAACATGGACCATGCCATAATAATAACCACTGATACAAATAACTTCCATTTATCACAATTGTATTTATATACAACAAGCCGCATGTAAATAAAGTAAAAGTAAATAAAATCACTAAGCTATAATACTTGAACAATGAGACTACTTAGAGTGCATAGAAAGCATTTCGTTAGCGGTTAATCAATGAATTAACTATCCTAATGTATAAGTTAATCATTAGCTTATTTAATTATTTTGCAATACCATTTTTACCATTTAAACCCCTTCCGATCAACATAAGCGTTGTCAGTCGTGGCCACATAGTTCACACAGTTTATTAACTGCCTACAGTAAAGTAGGCCCTATCGGTTCCCCGATGGGGAAAATGACGACGTGTAAACTGTATCGTACTCATTGTGATCAATGTATCTAAATCTCAATGGATCTGAATTGGGATGAAATAAACGCCTTTTGGATTGATAACAGATATACTCGGACCCTGAGTGTGACTGCTTACTCACACGAATACGGTTATTACGGTTATTCCAGACCCTACAAACAATTATCAAACTAATAAACCTAAGTGCAATATAACTTAAACCTGCCTTCCACCGCTAAAAAATAAAATAAAATACTAATTCTTGTATAAGGCGATCATAAAAATACAACGTCATCTATGATTAAAAACATCCATCAACATTCAACAGATCAAACCAAAACTGACTAAAATCGGCTTGAAGCTGTTATATTCATCGACTTGAATATGTATAGATTTGTCTACAAGCCCCCAATGTTACCCACAGGAGTGTTTTTTTGAACCAGGGTCTTTAAAGAAGTTCAGTAAATGTACCGCATCTTTCCAAGAGCGTCAATTGTACTACTTGGTAACCAATAGGTTGGTATTTCGCTACAGATCTTTGCTTTACATGCATATGACACGGAGGATGTGTCGAAGTAAACATTAACCCCGTGAAACACTCCTCGTGCTGTATCACATCACAGAGAATATCAGAGTGTTGTCAAAGACAACAGATATAAAGCACTGCACTGAAGGTGGGTTTTTGCCACGCCTGATGTTGTCTTTCAAGTACCAGTTTTTCGCTCGCTTCCATTACCAGTCCCGATCACGTACTTGTAATCATACAGAGTTTTATCACTGGAATGTATTACGTTTTCCATTAATTATCAATGATTGACCTGTATTAATTAACGAATATCAGATAAGCTGAGTGGCCCAGCGTCCCACGGCTTACAGCTCGTTATTTGAGCTTTATTAAAATGAAAACCGTGTCGTTTCTGCCAGTGGCTGCTTTACATTAATTAGCTGTGAATATTTTCAGTCCTTTAAAGCTTGTTTTACACCTTTTATAATAATCATGTAATGTATAACTTACATAGGAATAATTTAACTCTAAAATACAGTATACCAAAGTGCTCTTATAACAGTTATCAGTTAGCATTGATTTGTCAATTCGATCGTTTGATTTCGATTTTCAATCCCCTAATCTAAGTTGCAGGGTTACAGTGCACTCTATTATAAGTATGATGACAAATACACGTTAAATTGCAGTCGTCAAAATATTTTGCAATGCATTAGTTAATAACATTTTCATTCGGATTTTTTTTTAACAAAAGTAAATACAGTATTTTTTGTAGGCTAAATATTATAATTGGGAACTAAAGATAACTTTCAGTATTAAAAATCAAACTGCACTAGATTGATAATAATTTGTAAGGGCGTTTTAAATATTACGCTTCATAAAAATACCAATGAAACGTAGGCCTATAAAGGAGGATCATTTTTTATACTATTGTTTATATATGGTTAAACATTATCTAAACAAATAAAAACTCTTCACCAACTTTTAACTTGAAATTTATAATCAAAGATTCCTTATAGCAAGGCTCGTTTTGTTGTTACAGTATTAATACGTTGTGTTGAGCTAGAAAACCCCCACATACTTGGCGTAAGATTATTTTTTTTGCAAGTATTTGTGTCATCTTATTGGCAATTTTATTATTTATCTTTGTACTCCTAGTATTACATTTTTGTTTGTTATGGGAAAATATATAAAAGTCAATTAAAATGTGAAAGTATTAATTCTATAAGTAAAGTAAAGAAATAAACGTGGTAAATATATTTTTAGTAGTGTTCATTTTTATAACATTTCTCTATGTAAAACATCAGTGTGATACTGTACTAAAAGTTCACTTTATGACCTTTTAATGAATTTTAAGGGTGTGCTCATAACTGTAGCCCACATGTTTACAAATAATTGTTTGACCGTTTAACTTCACAAATAAATTGTGTTTTGCACCAGCCTAGTTAAATTGTTGTATTTGTTGTACTGTAACTACAAATTTATTGGTATTATTTCATTGTTATTTTCAATGTGAAAGGTGATCCCATATTAATAATCACATCTGTAAACTCAACTAAAATGTAAAATAAACATATTTAAAGAATATCATCCCAACATCAATTATATTCTGGAGAACCTGTGCGCTTCGGAACGCTTCTGCTAACTTAAAAGAGGTTGTTTAAATTGTTAAAGATACATTAGTTTGTGACTCCGATAGATAGCCGTGTACGCGCATGTAGAACACAATACTGTTACATACCGAGATACTGTAGTGGGCAGTTGAGAATAATTGACAGATGTATATAATTAGTGTCCAGTAGAGTACACGATCATATCGTCGTCACGGACGTCCACAGCCGCATTGATACTACAACCATACAACTACACTCCGCGCCACTGCCCACCAGACAACAATCATACATACATGCACTCTGAACACTATGCACTATGTAACAAAATTTCGTCGAAAACATTTACTTTGAATAATCTAAGAATTCTTACATCATTGTAGAATCTGAAGATTATTTTTTGTGCTTTATGTTGGTGATGTTTGAGTGCGCATACATCGATTAAGCGCGTTTTTATTTTAGGGAAGATTAAAAACATTGTGCATTACTGTTTGAACAATATTTTGGATAAGAAGCAAAATTATTCCATTATACTATTTTATTTTAAATTTTGTATATTTTTGATTAGTTGAGCTTAATTAATTATTTAGTTATAATAACACAGGTCAAGCAATTATTTATAACTAGATAGTTTTTATTAAATATTTTTAGGAAATTAGAAAAAAAACTAAATCGGACGGCACTAACTTTAAAATTCCCTTACGCTACTCCAGAAGAATGATAAAATTAGACGTTGTCGCTGGAACTACTTTTGTTGTATTTTAATCTGATTCTAATATACTTGCAGCAGTGTAAACATTGAGCTTCGTAAATTTAGGCGTACCTCATAATACAAATAACCTGTTTAAAAATATATATCATAGACTAATAGGTATATTTTTTATATATTTTTTAAGTTAATATTATTGAATTTTGCACAGTTTCATGCAATTTGGTTAATTTTGTTACTCAGTTTGATTCTACCCAAGGTTTAATATAGTTTTCATACTAAGACGTTATTTTGTAAATTTATTTTCTACAAAACTAAGGGTAAAATGTTTATCTGTCACTGAGCATTACACACTAAGGCACAGGAACGTCTTTGAAAATTTCAAATTAAATTAATATCAACTCCGATACATATAGTGCAAACGTTTTATCATCCTTTTACATTATTTTCCTATAAATATTACTTACCGAGGAAATATTATGTATATAAAATACTAAATCAATACACTGTAATAGTTTTATGCAATGCGGATAAACATAAAACCTCAATTTTTTTACTGGAAATTTTTGTGGTGTCTATAAATTAAATTAACCGTGAATAACAAAGTGTGTATTAACCTTAAAACAAAGTGTAACATTTTGTAAATTGTTTTCTTGTATGTGAACTAGCGGTTCACATAAATTCTGGCGTCGGTTGTTTTTACGACGTGATACAATGGACAGAATAATTAGGCCTTATATGTTTAGACTTGTGTTTAAATGTTTAAACCCTATTGCATAATCAGGGCAGCAAGTAATAAATGCCAGTTTCACATGAGTTAACATGTCCAGCGGTATTGAGAAATCGATAGTTTTATATGAACATAATTTAATTTGAACTTATAATATTTATTAATTATATACTATTCTTCTATAAGTAGTAAGCAATAAAAAATACTAGCGTTGACTGTAAGTCCTTATTTACAGGCAACGATACTAATTTGCAATGCTACGGTACTGACTCACACATTACACATTTAATTAACCTGCGTACGTAACACGGCTATGGATATTGATAAACTAAATTCAATTGAATTACAGCCCAATTACAGTCGATCGCATATAAATTCCGTTTCGCTGAGAACTGCACATTTACAACACATTTGGTATTTGCAGATAAATCGGTCAGAAATAAATTTCTCTGAAGGTATTTCCAGCGCGTTCACCAATTTTTAGTGATTATCCCATCAATAAAGACACGCGGGTTGACTACCAACCACAATCAAACCAACCGTCTAGTGTTTTTATTTATCGACAAAAGCTCAAACTGAAATTTATTCGGGCCTAATTACAGGGTCGCTCACTCGGAGGACCGTGTTCGCCTGACTCTCCCTCTATCTCTCTCTCTCTCTCTCTCTCTCTCCCTCTATCCGACACGTTCCCTATAAAGTGTTAACTGCATCGATATACCATGGATAAAACATACTCGCTTAGTAGATTTCTGATTCTTATGGATCAGCTTTTACTGTTGGTTCTGTCCGGTGCACCGTAGGAAATCCTGTTTTGTTTACAATTTATTTCTTGTTATTTCGGTCATTTAAAACCTCGTTTGACCAAATATAAAGATCTAATCATAAACAATAACTCGTCCCCTAGGTATAACCAAACAGTAAAATACAAATTATGAAACTAACCCTAAAATAAAATAATAAAATTTCTTTGACACTAGCGACCGGTGTCACCGAAAAGAACTAGACACGAAAAACGGGCTTCAAAATTTACAATTGGATGAGAAGTCTACGTGCG